TCTTTGCCCTCGTGCCCGGTATTGTGGGGCGACTCAACCTGTGCTGTGAACAACCCACCCCCACTTGTTACACAGATATATAATCTATTTTTGCACTGTAGAGGTAATAGGAAGCTCAGGGGTCTCTGGAAGTTCAGATCTATCATCACTCTAGAGAATGCAGTCTTGGAGCTGGCTAGTCTTCCCCTTAGTCCCCCTCTTTTGATGAGCCCGAAGGCTTCAATAACATGCCTAGGCGGGATGGCTTTTGACTTCATGGTACAGGCTGATAGCAGGAACATCTTCCTTTTTTCATCATACCTCTAGCATACTTTATTTTTTTCTTTGACAGATGTGTTTTTGGTTCACTTTGTATGTGTATATGATGCCTATTTTAGTTTCATCAGAAGACAGCACTTTCTGCCATAGTTGTACAGCCTTTCTATTCCTTGACCCTGGTAGTAGGACAGGCCTGTCACGCGTTGCCTAAGTAGAGATTTGGGTTGTACTGACCTGTCTAACATGGCTAGTTTCTGTTGAACTGGTGTCCTACCTGCACACACAATACCCGCAATCGGTGACAAGTGTCTTAGGCGTTAGCACCGGCTTTATATTGCGTTAAAAAAAATCAGACCATGGGGGACCCCAACTCTCGGAAGAAGCAGGCTCTGAACCGGCTGCGCTCCCAGCTTAGGAAGAAGAAAGAGTCTCTGGCTGACCAGTTTGACTTTAAGATGTACGTCGCCTTTGTGTTCAAAGACAAGGTGAGTCGCTCGCTTACTTTCATGGTGCTGATGGTCATCAAAAATAGAGAAGTGACTCACTTGACAGGGTGCCCAGCCCTTCCTCACGCCATCCAAAACTTGACAGGTTTTGCTCTTTCATACAGTACAGAACTTTTAGCTACTTAAGGTGGATCTTGCTCCATTTTAAAGTGACCCTAAACTCAGGAGTTGAATCTTAATGCATCCAAGTACCTTAACTATTAAAACTACATCCTATGTGTGTATCACTCGGCTGTAGATCCTCAAATCATCTCTGAATTGGTGCAGGAGGGTGACTACTTTTGTTCCCCATGGTCCCTGTGTGTTGTAAAGTAGCCACCGCTCCAAGCTCGCTCCTGTGATGGACTACAATCCCCATACAAATGAGTAAACTAAACATGAGATTGTAGTCCATCACAGGAGCGAGCTTAGAGTAGTGTCGGCATCGATTCAGAGATGATTTGGGGATCTGCAGCCGAGTAATACACAAATGGGATACAGTAATGTTAAGATACTTGAATGGATTTTGAAGATTTAACTCCCGAGTTGAGTGTCGCTTTAATAGATTAGTTACTGAAGGTGAACCTTGCCCTATTTGAAGTGTTTTAAAGTCCTGCTTGAGAGGATCTTGTGTGGCTTATTTGTTGCCCTTTGTTCCTTTGGCTGGAGTTGGCCTCAATTTATTCCTGCCAACTTCAGCATTGGTATGATTGTCTGTCTCTAGGGGATCCAACCAATTAATCGGTAATGAGAAGTTAACTATTCTCATTATGGATTAGTTGGTTGGATCCCCTAGCTCTCACCTCCACGCTGGGAAGAGGGCACAGCAAGCAGGGGGCGGTGCAATAGCCAGCCTGCTATTGCAATTTGAAATGGCCAATAGCAGGCTAGCTATTGTACCAGCCCTCTATCTGCTGTATTTACATTCAGCTGCCATCTGTGGAATCTTGCCACTGGCAGCTGTCATTCCCTGGCTGAAGCTATTCAAGTGCCATGTGCTTACAATACAATTATTTAAAAAAAGGTGGGAAAAAGCCAGTTTCAGACTGACAAATTCTGCTAAGGGAGGTGCATTGCAGTGCCTTTTCATTTTAATGGCATTGCAAACACACCTCCCACCCACAGTGTGATGGAGCGCACGGTACCGCAATGCTGAGCGTTGCAGTGCAATTACAAAGTTTACTTCACAATAAAACTGGATGCAGTTTTTTTTTTTTTTGCAACACCATTTCTGTTTATTTAATTTTAAATTAGTGATGGTATTTTATTTTTATCCAATCTAAAAAATAGGGCAGCTAATGGCTTATGAAAATCCTTAGTTGCAGCCCTAATTGTCTCTGTGGGTAATAAGAGATCATTTACTGGAAAGACAAATGGCAATGTGTAGCCATGAATTCAGGGCATGACAGATCACAGGAACAAAGTCAAACCAAGAAAGACACAGAAGAGGGAAATTTGACCTAATAAGTCATAGTGGGCCTCTCGGGTTATCTGTCTGCTTTCAATATGAAGCTGTCACTTTGCCCATTCAGAATCTACTCAGCCTGTTCATCTTACTCAGAATAGGTGGAAGGATCTCTGGTATCACTTTAAAAGTTCAAGTATTGGTTCATTAATGGATTCTGTACACAGTGACTTTTCTGAGCATTGCTGCTAATAAAATAACTGAATTGTTTTATATTTTAGTGCAATAGATGCTTGAGATTAGAAAAAATATTTGTGTGAAATCCTTTTTCTATACGGCATACTTCTAAACATTTTCAGGGTTATTCACAAAAGGGTGAAGGGTTTGGAGAAGGCAGGATAAGTGAACAATCTAGGACAACATAGCTGAACTGGAAAGTGAGCTGAATTGGAGAATTTTTCCAAGTCAGCTATGTTGTCCTAGATTGTTCACTTCTCCTTCCTTCACCAAGCTCTTCACCCTTTTGTGTATGTACCCGTTTATATTAAACAGCATAGTACCGTAGTTGAATTCTAACCCTTTAATGGATCCTCTATCTATGTGGGTGTGATAGTTGGGTAATCTGCATTATTGGAGGCTCTTCAGTCTTCTCAGTGGTGAATGACTTGTAACTTTCTTCCTTCCTTTTCTGCAGAAAAAGAAGTCAGCTCTGTTCGAAGTGGCTGATGTTATACCAGTTATGACTAACAATTATGAAGAAAATATATTGAAAGGTGTGCGGGATTCCAGCTACTCCTTGGAAAGTTCCCTTGAGCTTCTGCAGAAGGATGTTGTACAACTTCATGCACCTCGCTATCAGTCCATGCGGAGGGTAAAGTGTTTTGCATATTTGATATTGGAACAATCTGCCCTTTTAGACGTCCACATTTGACCACAATACAGCAGATAGTATCTTAGAACAGGTGCTTTTACTGTATTTTACTTCCTAACCTGCAGACTTCTCTGAAGTATTGTACTTTACACATAGCAGTCTTTTTCCACTGACAGCTGAGTGACAACACCCTTTATAAAGCCCTGACCCTACCTGCAGACCCATGCCCCCTTCGTACTTGAGCATTGCAGTTAATGTGAATCACTGAATTATTAAACTTGTGAGGGTCTAAGCATAAGAATGTATGTTTCTATCTCCTCTTTGTGCAACTTTTTGCACTTTGTAATATTGCAAGTGCTCTGATATGCAATACTTCTGCCCGGGCTGTTTCCCACCCCTGGGGTATGATGCCTTATAGAAGAGTGCTGACGGCATTATCATTCATGAGGTTTTCAGCAAAATGCACCCTCCTTCGGAATGTAGAGTAATCGGTTTTAGACCTGTAAAATGCACCACACCTAAGAAGTTGAGGTGTGAAAGGGCTAATTTTCTTTTTTGTTGAAAAGCGTTGGTGTACTGCCAGCTGCTCTTTGAACAGACTGTAAACACATTGGCTTATGCACGTTATCACTGTAGTAGTTTGCATAACATCTATGTTGTCTTATAGGATGTAATTGGGTGTACTCAAGAGATGGACTTTATTCTTTGGCCTCGGAATGATATAGAGAAGATTGTGTGTCTTCTGTTTTCAAGATGGAAGGGATCCGATGAGCCCTTTAGGCCTGTTTTGGTAAGTAGAGCTCTCTGATAATATGCAAAGGAGCTGCAGAAAGGTATAGGGATATCTGCTGTATTCTGTGTATATGTATTAGGCCAGTGAATGTTGGAAGGACACAGATGGCTCCTTTTCTGTTTTTAGTTTATATTTTCTGTTAAAGTGGCAAGACTACTCTCAAAAGGCCCAAGGTCCTTCAAGTGAAGGGTGTCACAAATGTTCACTAGGGGGTGGTGGGGGGATTAGCCAGTCTGACTTGAAGAAAGTAGAGATCCTATTAACCTTCCTGGCGGTGTTCCCGAGTGTAGCTCTGGGTCACTTTTCCATGCCATAAGCGGTAATTCCGAGCTACACTCGGGAATGCCGCATAGCATTACTTACCTTGTCCCTCGAGCCGTGCTGTGATCTCCGGCCGATGGCGGGTTCCGTCCCTTGTGAGCGTATGCGTCGCAGGGGACGGAACCGGCGGGATAATTTTTAAAAAAATACACCGAAAAAAGAAACGGAAAAAAAATTCATAAATCATACCGCCAGGGAGGTTAATATGGGCGTTTTTTAACTTCTCTGCATTAGGGTAAAAACGTCCCAGCACCTTTTTTCTCCCCAGTCCCC